ATATTTTAAATATTATATTATATATTTACTTGCATAAAACATTTTCTTATCAAATATATATTATATATAAATATTATATTATACATAAAACATTTTTAATATATAACTACCAGTTTTAAAAATTACATATGCAAGAACACATGGCAATATAATACAATATAATATTTATATCATATGTAATAAGAAATATCATAAAATAAGAAATTTTTAAACATGTAAGAAAGCATGGTAATATATTAAAAATGTTTTATATATAATATACCATTAATAAACCATTTTTGAGAGATTTATTTGGCCAATTTGTTTTTTTGGACTAATTTATTTTGTATGAAAGAAAATATTCTATTGTATGGAAACCTTCTGCAGAGATTCACAGCTTTTACCTGAAAGGCAGGAAGCCTCCGATGGCCATGTGCACAGCCGTGTGTTTGTACCAGGGCTGCTGGGGGATCTGGCGAGGTATGTTACGTGTGCGACACGGGGCCTGGAAGTTGCCTGCTCTGTTCTTTCCAACGATTCCACCAATGACGGTGAGGGGGAAACCCACCAGCACCCAGGCACCAAGCAGCAGAAGCACAGTGGTGGCAGGCAGGGCCTGAGTCGATCCACTCCACCAGTGAACAGAGTTCACCACACTCCAGGTGAAAAAGAGAGGGGCTAAACGCATCAGAGAGAAAGAAGTAGAATTGAGAAAAACAAAGAGAGCAACGGTGAGTGGGCGAAATGTTAGTTACATCTGCTCATGAAAACACTTTAATCATGAAGGGCTATACTTGGAATCAAATACTAGCATGCTGCACAGTATCTACAATAACCTTTAAAATTAAAATTAAAACACACCAGAAATGGAAATTCATACTGAGCACACTGCATTGGGAGAAACAGTACCCCATTCTGTCTATATGTACAGATGCAGAAGACTGTTGTGTCTCACCAGAGAAGAGCGCAGAGGTGAGGATAATATTCCAGACCCAGCGCTGGCCCTGAATCTGTGTGTAGAAGCTGCAGGAACAGTAACCTGACACACAGCTGGTCAGAGCGTACAATACAATCGCTGCCGAGTTTATGGCACCATGACGATGGACGTTAAACATCCCCAGCAGTGCCATGACAATGATTCCTGAAGAAACCAGGAAAGAGGATCCAAAAGGTCAATGGGTTATCTGAAGGTCAAGTTCTTCATATCTGCAACTCTCTTCTCATTTTCATCCCAATTCTCAGCTCTGAACCAAATATTTAAGCACTTCATTGCTACTATTGTTTTAGACAAAATATTGCAAAATCATCTAAACAAATAACAGAAAAGTAGTGACAGAGAAGATAACACAAAACAAAATATTTCATTATTAATGATTAATAATAAAATTATTTTAAATGATTACAAATTTATTAATGATACGATTATTAATGCAATCAGTATTTTTAGTATTCTATTATTTTATGTTATTTATGAGTTTACTAATTTTTATTAGTAAATGGAGATGCAATTCTGAAATATTCAAATAACCCAAATATACAAATAGCGTGCCCATATGAAAATTTGTGTTCATTTTTTATATATTTACATTTACATTACATTTAGTCATTTAGCAGATGCTTTTATCCAAAGCGACTTACAAATGAGGACAATGGAAGCAATCAAAATCAACAAAAGAGCAATGATATACAAGCGCTATAACAAGTCTCAGTTAGCTTAACACAGTACACGTAGCATATATATATATATATATAT